ATAAAATGGAGTACTACTCAACCATAAAGAATGAGAAACTAGAGACATTTATAGCTAAATTGATGCATATTGAGGCCATACTCTTAAGTGAAATAAGTAGGACACACGTGTAAATACCGAATAGTTTCTCTGGTGTGAGAAACCGAAAGTGTAAATAAGGATTAAAATGATTAAAACAAATAATTGATAATTTGAAATAGGAAGAAAAGGTCCAACAGGGTAGGGGAAGTGGGAGGGGAAGGAGAAAGGAAAGAAGGGAAAGGAAATATTATGAGAAAAGAAAAAAATGGAAACAAAGTCTATGTAAATAGGGAAGGGTGGAGGGAGTGAAGGGTGCACAGGTAATGGGGAAAAAGTAGGAACAAAGATACATCATGTAGAGGTACAAACACCCAATGATAAATGTAAATGTATTGTATACCTAAAATGTACCAATAAAAGAATTTAAGAAAAAAAAGAAGTTCATGAACTGAGGTAGCACTGTACCTGTAGCAGATGACATTTGTAACTGTTGTGACCACCTTGTTTCTGGGTGGAGTGTCAACACCTGAATATTTTAAGCCTTCTAGACTGAGCATTTAAATTTCAAACATTATTTTATTATCTTTTTTGTAAGGACATTACACAAAATTATGACTATCATATATGTTACTAAGGCCTACTATGAATTTTATTTCATGATGAAAGAAGTATTATATATTATAACAAAATTTACACTAGGAACACTCCTGATCTCTTTGAAATTTGCCTGAATTGGTGCCTGGACTGAAGTCAACTCCAAGGCCAAATAGAGTAGGCACAGTTTAGTAGATTTATCTGAAAATTATGCTTCCTGCTGCAAGTTTCAGTGTAAAAGCGGTTCAGAGTTGAGGTTATTGTCCAGAGTCTTGAACATCTTCAGTGTGATGTGGGATGTGATCCAGAAACGTGGTGGAAGCACAAATGTTGTATCACTGGGAGGAGCCATGATCGAGACCCAACAGAGGGACACACTGAGACAGAAGGAAAGAACCGAACAGGAGAGCGCACAGAATTATCCAAACATTACGTAAAATTACCATGAATTGGGCAAAGTGTGAGGAAAGTCCTCATGCAGTCATATAAGGTTGTACGCTGTACCTGTGTCTGTCTGCTTGCACATACGTATAACAGTAGACACGTGGCTGCTCACAGGTATGGACATATACACCCAAGGATGTGTGTGTATGTGTGCACACTGTATGAGACCAGGGCCCAAGAACAGTTTATTTGCATCTCTAGCACTCACGAAGGCACCTGCTGTCTTGGTCGCAGTCTCTTTGCTGGGACAAATAGCCAACTCCCACACTGGAAGGGAGGAGAGGTTTATTTCGGCTCATGTTCACAGTCCAGGGTCTGCTGGTGCGAGGCTGGAGCGACACAGTGGCAGGGGGTCCATACAGGAAAGCTGCTTACTTCCCAGTGACTAGGCAGCAGAGAGAAAACGGGGTGATGCACCTTCCAGCCCACACCCCAGTGACTGTCCCTTGTGACTCGACGCACCTCCCAGCATCACGTTTCACTGCAGCACCTCACCATCCAGTGACATTCCAAACACGTGGCTTAGTTCTGGGGTGACAACTCCAAATTAAACCTCGATACCTGCACAGAGCTGGGGCTCAGAAAATGTTTGATACCTCCATGGACTTTGTTTTTGTAATACTGGGGATTGAACCCGAGGCATTCATACTGAGCTACACC